TTCAACTACAAATATGAACTGAAAAGTACATGCCTACCAACCACGGTTAATGATTACATTTTTGAAGACAACATATCTGGAATCAAAATATCTGTGAAACAGACCATAGGACTCAAAACTATGAAATCTATTATCAAATCTAGAGTACAAGACAATGTAAGACTTGGAATTAGCTGCAAGAGTCAACTCCATTTGTCCTGGATGGCTTTAATTCCTAGTTCACAGGTAGAACAGAAGTGGAGGTCTTAAGGGTCCCAAAAGAAGTCATTTAGGAACGACTGCCTTCAGGCTGACGACTGTTCTTTTTTTATCCTTTGTACTGCCTAGTATATCTTACATAGCAGCATAAATTTCCCTTTCCAAGCAAGACTTATTCCCTTCTGTAGCTGTGCATTCCCAAAGTCACCATTGTCTTAACCCAAATAATCACAGGCCAGGATTCATAGGTCCGTAAGTCCTGGCCCAACCCACTACTGGCTTTACCTCCTAGTCAGTGCACAGTAACTCACATCTTACTTTACTTTTCATGTTAATAGACTCTAACAACTGCACATGACGTCCCTCTACCCTGCCTCTTTGTAGTAGTATCTTCATCAAAAACTGCTTTTCTTTGTGTAAAACCTAACAGTCAGCCATACTGGTGCACACTTTTAATTCCCAGCTATAAATAAATCAATCCAAAATGGTGAAAACGAAGTGCAGGCATCAAAATAAAAAAATAATGCCAAAGTTCATCAAAATTAGAAACTTTTGTACATCAAAAGGCACTACCAAGAAAGAAAGAGTTGGGCAGGTGGTACACACCTGTAATCTCCCTACTTGGGAGGCTTTAAAGCCTGGGCTACAAAGTCAGACCCTATTACCCTGTCCCCCAAAATATTTGCAAGTCATTTGATAGGGGACTAACATTCCAAATCCTGGAGTGAGGGATTAGTAGCTTGAATACTAAATATAAATAATTCCTATAAATCAACAAAAATATAAAAAATTGAAAAAAAATGGGTAAACTAGAATGAACCTTTCTCCGAAGATATACAAAAGGCCAGTAAGCACTTGAAAAGATGTCCAACATCTTTGATGATCTGAGAAATGCATTATATGGAAATGTATGTCAAAACCACAATGATGCCACTTCGCCAGGATGGCTAGTATCAAAAACAAGCAAAAGACATCAAAAAAAAAATAAGTTGCTGGTGAAGATGTGGAAAAATGGAGACCCTTGTATACTGTAGTGAGAATGTAAAATGGTGCAGCTGCCACTGGAAGATACAATGGCAGGTCTAAAGAAACACCGTCTAAACAAACAAACCAACAAACAGAAGTATCATAGGATCCAGCAATTCCACCTCTGGTTTTCCACCCCAAAGACCTGAAAGCAGAGAATCTAACCCATTTTCATAGCAGAACTAGTCACCAAAGTCAACCCAAATGCCCATCAATTGATGAAAGGATAAACAAAATGTATATGCACACAATGGAATATTCAGCCTCAAAAAGGAGTAAAATTCTGATATGTGCTTCAACTTGGATGCTAAGTGAAATATGCCAGACAAAAATACAAATATTGTGTGAGTTCACTTCATAAATAAAGTATGATAGCAGTTAATAGGGACTAGGGAGAAGGAATAGGGAGCTATTGATAGGCTCAGAGTTCTAGTGTGGCATGATGAAAAAATTCTGGAATGGATGGTGGTGATGGTCACACAACCATGTGAATGTGCTGAAGCCACTGCACTGTACCCTTGAAAATGGCTGAGACAGTAATTTTATACACACTTCACTATAAAGAAAACCCATAAGATTCAATTGAAAACTCTTTAACTTCATTAAACTTCAATGTTTAATACAGGCATTACCAATTACTATCCTTGACTGGTTTGTCAGTTGGATATAAAATGAGTCTTTCCAGCCCACAGAATGGGAGAAAATCTTTGTGAGGTACTCATTCAGTAAGAGACTAGTATCCAGAATCTGCAGGGAACCCAAAAAACTCAACCCCCAAAGAATCAACACCCCAGTGAAGAAATAGGCACATGAATTAAATAGGGAATTCTCAAAGAGGTACAAACAACCAGTAAATACATAAAGAAGTGTTCAACTTTCCTGGTTATAAAAAAGAACAAATCAAAACAACACTTAGATTTCATCTCACTCCAGTTAGAACGGCCATGTTCAAGTGTAATAACAATGACAAATGATGGTGAGGATGTGGCAAAACAGGAACCCTCATACACTGTTGGTGGGAATGCAAGTTAGTACAACCATTATGGAAAGCAGTATAGAGAGAGTCCTCAAAAAGCTAAAGATAGAACTGCCATATGATCCAGTGATACTGCTCCTGGGCATCTACCCAAAAGAACAGGATGCAGTAGACACCTGTACACCAATGGTCGTTGCAGCACTGTTCACAATACCACAATAACCTAGTTTTAGAAACAACCCAATTGCCCTACAACTTACGAATGGATCAAGAAATTGTGATACATATACACAATGGAGTATTACTCAGCATGTTAAGTGAAGCCAGGATCAGAAACAAAAAGGCCCCATATTTTTTTCCCGTATGTGGAATAGATACAAAAGATAAACATACACACAAATAAACAAGCATGATCATATACAAACTCATATGTAGAACATGTGTGTAACAATGGAACTGCTCTATGGAACTCGGTGAAAGAGGGAAAAGAAAAAAGGATGACAGAGCATCAGTAATATCGTAAAACATAAAGACGTGAAGGTACAGGATATAAGGATGTGTATTGAAAGCTGTTGAAAAATGGGGAGTGGAAGGTAAAGGAGTAATGGAGAGCAATGGAAGGGGTTGAACAGATTAAAGTAAAGTACACTCACAGTGGGCATACACTGAGAAATCCCTTTGAACATCAACTTAAATATTAGTAATGAAAGGCAGGACTATAAAATAGGTACAGAGGGTGTGTGTGTGTGTCGGGGGGTGCTAGTGGGAGGGGAGAGGGTGAATGAAGATTAAGGTGATGGCATATGGTTGATGGACTTCATATACCTGTATGAATTAGAACTAAGAAATCTCTTGCAGTTACTTTAAGAGGGGCAGGGAGGGAATGGGGGAGAGATGACGAAGGCAATGTCACTAACGTACAATATAAGTCTAATCAGAATTGTCACTATGAATCCCCCCTGTATAACAAATACATCCTCATAAAATTTTATTTTAAAAAATGAGTCTTCCTATAAAGCTAGAAAAACTTTTAAAATTACAGACTTCATCTTTTAGAGTATCTTTATTTACGTATCTACAATTTTGACCTATGAAATGAAAACTGAGCAATCCATCAGAGAACCAGCATTCTTGAGAAACTTATACTGCATAACTATATGCTCTAAGAGTCACCAATTGTCCTGCTATTGATCTTCCTTCAGCAGACAACTGGTCTCTTTTAGTCAAAGCATCTAGAACTTAAAAGTAATTGTGTAAATGGAACTATGTCATGTAAAGATCCAACTGCTAGATTTGAACTTCATAGAATTTTCAGTATCAAAGGACAGGGAGGGAAGTGAACTGCCTCATGATTCTAAGAAACACATGCATTCCTGGTCTAAAAAAAGAAAACATTTAAGCTGAAAAGGACATGACATACATGATAGCATAGTGCAAGAAAAGTCTCACATAATCCATGTTTTATCAGGAGGAATTTTTCAAGGATAGCACATAAAACTCAGAAATTCTGATGCCATCTTTCCACTAGGAGGATGGATGCTTGGCTAGGTTGATTTAGTGAAGACAAAAAATTAAAACCAGTTATCACCACATTCAGGAGCAGATTGAATGACATGCATAAATATCAAAATGGATCAAAAAATTTCAAATGATCAACAAAAGTGAGGAACAACAAGAATAGGAAAATAAAAATAATAAATTTCACACATGGAAGCAATGGCTTAACTACCAGCATGGAGGAATCTGGGCATACAAATGATATGAATCAACAATATAGCATTGCCATTTCATAAGTAATCTGGTATTGGAATAGATAAATGCAAATGAGCTAAGAGCTAAGATCAATTAGTATTTGCAGTTCTATATTTTAAGATGGCCAAAATAAAGAGTCACAGTAATTCTAATCTGGCTTCTCAGTCATCAAATACAGCAAGATCTTAACTTAGAAGTTTTGGGCAAAATGGTTATTAAATAAGGACATGGGCCACTGAGTAGCTAGGGAACATCAGAGCCAAACAGAAACATGAATTCAAAGAATGTGCATTGAGTTAATTATCTTAGATATAGAGATATCTGTATTTTTTTTTTTTTTTTTTTTTTTGCGGTACTGGGCTTTGAACTCAGGGCCTTGCTAGGCAGGTGCTCTACCACTTGAGCCACACACCCAGCCTTTAATCATAGTCTTTACAATTCTCCAGGAAATGATGGAAAAAAACACTTTAACCCCTAATGCAGTAGATATAACCCCAAATCAGGAAGCTCCAGTATCACAGAGCTAAGAGGTCAAAGAACTAAGAAGACAAAAGAAGGAGTCATTTTTCCAGAGGGAAAATGGCAGCTCTGAAATTCCTAAAAGATGGGTATATTATTATATATTATTATACCCAGATCTACTATGGGAAAAATGGAGTTAAAAAATATTTAATTGGGAAAGCCAAGGATAAGAATAGTTTTGACAAGAAACACTATTCTGAGCCAGTTTTTCCTGCCTACCAGTATAGAATGCAAGAAGTCAGATGGCCTAGTCGCTTTTGTGAAGTAAGCACTATACAATAAAAAGCAATGACTAAAAATCCTAAATTATCTTCTGTTACAAATTTAATTTAGTGATTTAATTTTCTCACAGTATTATTATTACTGTAAAAGAGGTATAGTTTTGGAGAAAAAATAAGCCCATGAGAATTTTTAAACTTTGTCCTATCTGCTTATTTTTAAGAGGTGATGATTCATGGCTCTGATTATAATTTTCAGGAAATAGACAACAAAAAATTCATGTTAAATAACAACAGTGGACCTTGAAAGGCATGAGCTTTTGTCACTTTATTGTTAACCAATGAATATTATCCAAAATTAAGAGATGTAATTGTAACTTAATTGTACAACACAAAATTCTGCTAAAGGTAAGAGCCTATTGGAATTCGTCAAATACTCATTAGTGTGTTTTTACATTGCTATATGAACATGTGCTCCCAAATGCTAATGATAAGTTTAATTGATTTAATCGCTACGAGAACCCATATTGCAAATGGCTGGTCCTGTTTAGAAAAACTCACACGGCTTCAAAAATGGATTAAATCCATTTTAATCCTAATCTACAAATGGATTATTAATAGCAAATATAACTGGTAATTTTTCAACACTGTCACAAGCTGATGTAGCAATGGTAGTGTGCACAAGTCAAAATGAGGAAAATTTACGAAAATATAATGGAAGTCCAGGTTTTTACCAATTATGACAGCAGCTTTAATGCTTCAGAAAAGTACACATTTATGTTTCAAAGCATGAACCATCTGATGTTCTGCAAGCAGAAACACTCTCTTCCATAGGATTTTGAAGCTTGTGCACAATGACCATACAACAGTCATTTCAAGATTAACCAGTTATCTTCTGTCCTACAGAGTCCAAAAAAATATATTAAACAAAACCTTTCCTTTCCATAATGTGTGCCCAGATTAATCCTTTTAAAGTCAGCGAAATCAAAAAAGCACGAGATATTCTGAGACACAACTTGTATCTACTGTGCATGAAAAATGTTTAATAAAATGGCAATTTTAATAGATAAATGTAATTTTGAGTGCATAATATTGAATGGAAAGTAGCTGAACCACACAGAGAAAACAAGGCTTTCCATATCTTCAAATGCAGTTGATTCACAATAAAGAAAATGTTAGAACATCTTTCTAATGGGAAAGATTTCTTCAAGAAGACACTGAAATAAAACCTAAAATTATAATTTCTAAAACAGGATTAACAAACCAAATTTAAGTTTTTTAGTTAGAGATTGGAAAAAATATACACAGTGATTAAGAAACCAAATACGCTAAAATAATTAAGCAACTATTATATTAAGAAATGAAGGTACATTCTTCATATGCTACAAAGGTAACATCTCTTTCTCTCACACACAGAGAGACACACATACACTTCCTCAGACATGTAACACCCCTCCAGAAAAATAGTATACCAGTGAGAACTTAGAATTTTAATACAAATCAGAGCCCAACAATTCAACAAAAAGGCAGTTAAAAAATTAGCACTCAGGTATTGTGAAGGAAATTGAAATCTCAAAAGTATTCCTTCAGGATTTAGGCTGTCTGTGTACAATAAAAACATACAGCTTACACACACCATTGTGTTTCAACAACCAGTCATCGCAGATGTAGTAGTGAGGTAGTATTACTGTCCCCTTCTTGGGACTGACATTTTCATATGCTGCCCTTCCAGAAAGGTCCAAGTTTACTTGTTTAATGATTAAAATAAATTACCAACAAATGTATATTTTCTTTTATTAGACATCTATTTTTCCAAATCAACCTATGAAAGAACAAGACTTTTCAAATCTTTCAGGCAGTGTTTCATTAATAAACTCTCCTACAAACTACTACCTGCTGTCTATACCTCTGTGAAGTGGCAGGCAAAAAAACCACCAAAGGATTACAAGAGATGAAACACCAATCACTTCAGATGTCAAGATGGCTGTAATTAAAGTAAACAAATAGCATATTCCAATAATGTAATTAAATTGGGATTTAAAAAAAATTAACCACCAGCATAGTCATCTTCTACCCAATGATGGAAGACCTCTGTCTACCCTGCCATCTACCATCATTTTTAAACACTGCCAGTTACCTGTATGACAGCAGAGCTGTGACTATTCGCATGGCAGGACATGAGAAAGGGTGTGGAAGTATATGTAGGTTCGACATGGAAAAGGCAAGGGAGGACAGAGTTCTCTATCACAACCCTCACTGAAATGCTCACCATTGTCCCTTGAGATGTAAAAAGTGCTCAATACGCACACACACATTTGTCAGACATGATCGTTAGTATTCATCTTCAACAGAAAAAAAAATGAAAATGGAAAATGCGGAAGGAGGGGATGGAGCAACATTCTCTATTTCCTGGCCCAAAGAAAAAGAAAACCAAGTATGACATCACACTGCCTTAATGTTGAAGAGCTCCCCTTCAATTCCTTTTAGCCACCACAGTCAAACTGGGATAAGTGCTTTGGCAAGGTGCGATGCATTCCATCACATCTCAAAGGCCTGCTTTTCTCTGTTGGTGGTTCAGCTTATGAAGAACATGTATGCAAAGTAACAGCTCTCACATTGCTTCAAACTCATCAATACGCTGCTTTGTATTGCCTTGTCGAATCTGTCGAAGAGTCTTGTACTTATCACGGCCTGCTTTAACATTCTCAGCATGAAGAACGTCATTTTGTGTTTTCTTGGTTTCATCTCTGGCTTGGGCTAATTCTGAACTTAATGCCTATATTTAAAAAATAAAAAGTATGACATTTTTTTCTTAAACTTAGAAATTTTATGAACATGGTTTAAAGATGCAAAAACACAAACACACTGAATGAATCTCTACTTTTTAAATACAGTTTCCACTGTGACATCATTTTAGTTTTAGCAGTAGTGATTGTGGTACTTAGGGAAGGAATACCCAAGGCCTTTCATGTCTACAGTCACCAGCCATGACACTGTATGTTATGAATTTCCTGAACTTTCTTATCCAGTATGCGGATGACATAAAAAGATCAAGGTAGTCAATATAAAGGAATGTTACTATAAGAGTGAACATCTATACCACGGGGGAAAGCTTTCTCCAAAAGCCTACCTCTTCATTTTCTTATTAATATTTAAACATTTCACCAATTAAAAAATTAGAGAATGTATTTGGAAAAAAGCCATAATAAATCAAAACTTTCTACTTTGATCTAGTATGTGCGTTAATTACAATGAATCAGATGATGTAACATCTTAAAGTTAATATATTAAATAGCACAATACAAACCAACCACACAGCCAGTTACGTTAAAGACTAATAAAAATCTTATGTTCTTTTTAAATAAATTCACCTCAGATGGAGAAAATATTTTAAAGATGCACATGCTTGCCAATTTTAGCTACCTGAAGTTGCTTCTTCACACGCTCGTTCTTTTGTGTTTCTGTTACGCGTTCTTCCTCACTTCTATGGTTCATCACCCCTTCATTCGATAACTCAGCACTGGCCTCAGCAGTGTTCTCATCGTGCTCGTCGTGTTCATTTTCTGTGGGAGGGATAACTGGTGGGGGTGGAGGTGGAGGCGGGGCAGACATCACAGTTTTTAATTCTTCTTTGGTCTTTTCTAAGTCTTCCTGGGCTGCAAAAGCCTGAACATTAAAAATAAGATTACAAACAACTTACTTTGAAACTGGTAATTAAAAGAATCACGTTATCCTGTCTTTCCAACAAAACTACATTTCAGAGTAATGAAAACAGGCTCTATAAATGAAAGTTCTATTCAACAGGTAGTAAAGAAAAAAATTTTTAAAAGTCATTCTGCATATCCTAATACAATTAATCCTAGCAAGGATCATTCATTGTTGCTAAAATTGTTATGGAAATGCTTGATGGGAAGTTACTTATTTGTAGAAAGGTGAAAAATACAACCAGACAAGAGTAATCAATGATCAGTTAAAATTACTAATGGTGGGGTTAATAAACATTAGGTGTTTTCTGACAGGACACAACATGAATGTCTAACCTTACCAATAATTGGGTGATCATACTGTTCTGCTTTGCCTGGAAAAGTCCTACACTGTTTGCCTGTGTAATTATTACTAGCACGCCTTTTTATATGGAAGTCTCACCTCTGGCACATTGTAGTAAAAATTTTAACTTGCATTCCTTAAGCTTTAAGATCCAACTTTTAGCTTACAGGAAATATTGAAAATAAAAGGACAAGCAAAATGACACCAGGAAGAAGCAATCAGACAAATACAAGAGGAGCATTCTGAAGATCCCTTAACTGTGCATGGGTTTCCCCAACACGTCTTATTCCCTCAGAAATTATTCTCTCTGTATTTCAAAAGTATTTCTATGTGAATCTTACATTCATTTCTATATTCATCTTATATGCATCAGCATACTAATGGGTACATAACAGCTATTCAATGAATAAACAAATGGTTACTTTGTGTTGCCACTCAGTAGCTTCCTCTTCCTTTTTCTTCTTGGCTTCTTCCAGAAGTGCAATCTTGGCAGTGAATTCAGCAAGTTCTGCTGCCTAAAATAGACAATATAATTACCAAAACTAGAAACACTTAATGTAATTTGAATATTCTTACGTATTAAGTCAAAAAGGTTTAATGTGCATGCTTAGGCTGTTTTGTATGTTTTTCTTGGTCTTCCATTTTTAAAAAGGTAATTATTTCTTGAAGATCTTAAATAACTCATTTATAGAAATTACCTAATAAGGAGACAAATAGTAGGGATTTAAATGTGTAACTTAATGGCTATTTTTAAACTTATGTCACTCAACAATCTACTAAAATATACAAAAGAAAAATTATGCAATGTTTTGTAATTTAAAGGACAGTTTAACAAATAATTTCATCTGATCCCTCAACAGCCCTATTAAATAGTAACATTTCTCTTTTCAAAAGGAGAGAAGTGAGCGACTGAAAAAGATGCAAAGACCTACAGCAAAGAAATGCCTGATCTAAGTGTCATGCCTACTTCTTATTTGGAAATCCACTAAATGAAAAATCCAAGCAATTATGGCCTATAGTTAGCTTATAGGGACCAGAATATATTGTGTAAATTTATTTAAGACAAAATAAAAACATGCCAGATGGCGGAACCTGCCAAAGTCTAAGTGAATGAATCTTTTGTAGATAATAGGCTCCATTTATAAAAACCATGATCCTGTTTAGTTGTAGTTTTTTTAAAAGCAGAAATGAAAACTTTGGGTTTATTTTCACACTTTGTTATTAAGTAACCTGTACTTCTGGTTTACATTTCAGAAGATAATTCTAGTGGTTGACACAACGCATTTATTTAAACTTTTCTCTGTATGACAGAGCAAAGACAAGTCCTTACTAACTGCTCCTGGTTCTTCATTTGGTCAGCAGCTTGTTTCGCTATTGCAGACTTGGCCTCCTCAGCAGCCCGACGCTCCTTTTCCAGACGTTCTGCTTCCTCTTTTGCTCTCTTTCGTTCCTGATCCAGTTCCAGGGCTTTTCGAGTCTGTTCTTCTAGTTCTGTCAAATATATGTATCCCCCCAACACCCAGATGACTAATTCCAGTTATTCTCACTATTGAAAACACCAAAATAGCAGCAAGGGATCTAATCTGTAGTTCCTAAAAGTTAACATGTATCTAAATGCACACATACTTCATTTTTAAGTCAGTAAAAGACTAGTAATTTTCAGAAATCTATTATGTACTTCAAAAACACAGACATGAAAATCAATTCAAGAAGCACTCATTTGAAGTTCTGACCTTAGGAGAAGTATTTTTTAAGGTAAAGGTGGGAGGGCTGAAGGGTTACAAGTGCATAGTAGAGTGCTTGCCTAATACACACAAGCCCTAGGTTCAATCCCAGCACTGCCAAAACAAAATTACCATGTGCAAAAATCTACAGAATAACACATTTTAAAACTTACAGCTTCTACTTATCTAAATACAGGTTGAGTAGCCCTTACCTGAAATGCAGAGATTAGAATTGCTTCAGATTTCAATTTTTTTTTCGGATTTTCAATATTTATGTATACATAATGAACTAACTTAGGGACGGGACCCAATGTAAACATGAAATTCACTCGTTTCATTCATATACACCTTATAGGCTGCCTGCAGTTAACTCCACACAATACTTTCAGTGCGCCTACGTTGTGAATGGGACCTGCCACATGAGGTCAAGTGTAGCAGCCTCCACTTGTGGCATCAACATATGTACTCAGTAAGTTTTAGGTATTGGATTGATTTTTGGATTAGGTTCTCAGCACCTTGTATTACATTCATTAATCCAAAAAATGAAGTTTGAAAACAATACTTTCTGATCTAAAACAAAAGTTCTTATGTGAATTATGTTAGTGGATTTATATACTTTACTAAGGCATAAAGACGAGTAATATTTAGAGGTAACTGCCATGAATTTTAATTTGTAAGTGTACAGACCATAAATTTCTTTTTTTATTCAGTGAACTGAATAGCAAAGGAAAATATTACACAAAAGCAGAAAAATTTAAATGACCTTAAAATTATTAATAACAAGCAGGTTCCGTGAGAGAAGACAACAATGTCTCAAGGGTACAATGTCCTAGAAGAATGATTCTCCTTGGCTGTATACTTTAGAAAAGAGGAAAACTAAAGTCCACATGCCATGAGGTTTGAAAGTTAATTAATGTACAAGCTTTTAGTTCTCTTAATTTGCTGGTCTTGATCACAACTAGCTCAAGTAACTATAGTTGCTATGTGGGAGGTTTTAGGAGGGTAAATTCTATTTTTTTGTGTGTGTGGGAGGCAGTATAGGGGTGTGAACTCAGGGCTTCACACCTGATAGGCAGAAACTCCACTGCTTGAGCCATGTCTTCAGCCTTTTTTGCTATAGGGAGACTGTGTCTCATGTTTTGCCCAGGATAGCCTGGACTACAATCCTCCTATTTTATGCTTCTTACCATCGCTGGGGTAACAGGTGCACACCACCCTCAGCTTTTTTTTCCCACTGAGATGGAGTTTCTTTCACTAACTTTTTGCCTGGGCTGGCCTGGAATTGTGATCCTCTCAATCTCAGCATCCCTTGTAGTTTGGGATGACAGGAATAAGCCACCACACCTAGTTATTGGCTGAGATGGCATCTTGCTAACTTTCTGCCAGGGCTAACCTGCAATCCTCCTGATCTTAGTCTCCTAAGCAGCTAGGATTACATGCATGAGCCTGTAATTTTGTAATGCAATACTGTAAAACTCTATGTGGCTATTTGGCTATAAAGATGAAAACTATGTAACACAAGATATTACCATAGCTATATTCTAAGATTACTCATTTTGGGATTTGCCTTCTAAAATCTGGATAATCAAGGTAGCCTATCAAAGTTTTCTTATCATTCTTTCCATCTGATTGACTGATACAGAAAATAGTCTACAAAGTTCACGGCTCTGTCAATCATCTGAACAAGAAATCAAGTAACTAAAGATTGAAAGCAGGATTACAAAGACACATCTGTACGCCCACATTATTAGCATCATTTTCCAGAACAGTTAAAATGTAGAAGCAACTCGTGTCTAACGTGTGCATGGCCCTAAAGAAAGGATATTCTGACATATGTTCCAACATGGATTGGGAACATTATGCTAAGTGAAGTAAGCCACAAAAAGATAAGGCATGATTATGATTTTACTTCTATTAGGTAGGTAGCCTAGCCAAAATCCTAGAGATAGAAAGAATGGTAGTTGCCACGTTGGGGAGAAAGAGTTGTTCAACAGGTAGAAAGTTTTAGTTTTCCAAGTCAAACAGAGTTACAGAGATAGTGGTGGCTGCTCACCATTATGAATGTCTTTGACATCATTGACCCAATTACTTTAAAATGAGTAAGATGGTAATACTTAATGCTGTATATTTTACCATGATAAAAAAACCCACATATACAGTACTTTATCTCATAACAAAAGTCCTTTGTGAACTGTGAGACAAGCAAGAGAAATTTGTATTATGACATTAAATTGAAATATTCCCCAAGTTTAAATAACTTGGTTTCAAAAAAGATAGATAAGGCAATGGCTGTTTTGTGGTGTATACAAGAACCTATAAAGTCTTTTTAAATGTTGAACATTGGAAACTTCAAATCTATTCCATTCTCTTCTAGAAAAGAAGGTTTTTGAGTAGTCTTACACCTCATAAATGACTTTCCCTGATTTCTTTCCTTTCTGGTTAACTGGTTAGAATGGAGGTTAGAAAACTATGGTCCACTGACCAAACCATATGCCTTTCTTGATAAATAATGCTTTCTTAGACATAGCCACCCTCCTCAGTGAGACATTCTTTATGACTGCTTTCCTGCTGCAAGGGTAGAGCTGAATGCCTGGAACACAGACAGTGTTTACTGAATTAGACCATGGATCCAGTTAAAACCTCTGCAAAGAAACATTAGATGAGAAATATGAATCATACAAATTTTTTTGCTTATCTGTTCCCTAAAAATTTAGAATTTACAATCTTGAGGTCTGGCATGGAAGAGGGTACTAAGGAATCTGGATTATTTACAATATTGGCTGTTTCAGCTTAAAGGCTGAAGGTTACAAACTGTTCCTCTCAATAATGTCATAGTTATCATTATGCTATTTAATTGGAAGGACACCATGAAAATTGATATAAATTTGGGCTAATAAAATTTGAGAAAGCTTCTCTTTCTCAATCAGATTTTAACCCAAGCACTACTAGATTTTGCAAGCCAAATGATTTCTTGCCCCAAGGACAAGGCTTGGAAGATGTATACTTATAATGGCATTTGTTAAAAAATATTTTGTTAATAAACAACATATTCCAAGAGTATTACAGATTTTTTTCCTTTCCTTTCTGTAAGGTAACAGTTCAAGTATTACATTACTTTTATTCTAGGAAAAGAATACTATCTTGAAAGAAAAGCAGGTTATAGTTCCTTAATCAAAATTCTTGGAAATCATGAAATTACTGAAAAGAGTTTAAAAATATCTATACTATATCTAAGCAATGAAGTATGCCACAAACAGTAAAAAAGATTTCCATCAATGTATATGAAGTCATTTTTAAGAGATATTAATTGAAAACAGCAAGCTGCAAACGGATATCTAGCCAGGTGTAGTGGTGTGTGCCTGCTACATCGGGAGATAAGGCAAGAGGACCACTTGGGCCTAGTAATTCAAGGCCAGTGTGGGCAACATAGTAAGACCACGTCTCAAAAAAAAGAATTTATGTAATATGCTTCCTTTTGTGTAAATATATCTTTAGGTGTGGCTTGTGTATTTTTAATTTTGTATACAAAAAATAGGCATATGCTATTCTCCCAAGAGACAAATACTGGCAAAACAATGTGGCAGCCTGACCTGCACTGTCAGTAGGTTAGACTGACAGCCTGGTGAACTGTCTTCCTCATACTCTAAAAATTTGTATTTTAAAGGTCTATTTGGAAGCAAAGTCATTGAGAGATAATGAGATCATGAGGGAGGATGTTATGATAGGGCTCTTACTAGAAGAGACACTGGAAAACTTAGGTTTCTATTTTGCTATCTACCTACAAGAAATGAGGACACAGTTAAGAAAGTGACTGCTGCAACCTAAGAAGTATTCTCACCAAATACCCTATAGGCACCCAGACCTTGGAATTCTAGTCTCCAGAACTATGAGAAATTAATCCCTTTTGTCCAAACACTCAGTGTGTGGTGTTTTGTTATTACAACCCAAGCTGACTAAAATACTTCATAAAAATGTAAAAATTTAGCTGAGTGCCAGTGGCTCATGCCTGTAATTCTAGCTCCTCAGGAGGCTGAGATCAGGAGAATCACAGTTCAAAGCCAACCCCAGCAAATAGTTAGTGAGACCCTGTCATTAAAAAAAAAAAAAAAGGTAAAAATTTAATTTTCCTGCTCAATACTCTCAAGTGACATTTTGCAATTATCGAGAATAAAGTCCAACTATGACCTGTAAGAACCTATATGACCTGGATTCCTATTACTTCTCTAACTACATTTTTCCCAGGCTTCCCTGGTTCACTCTGGCTTCTTTGTCACTGCTAGGTTATTAAGCTCTTCCTCCATTCTGGGAGTTTGCACTTGCTCACCCTGCTCCTCCCCCGATAATAATATTGCTTATTCTCTACCTTCACGTTTCTTCTGTATCATCTTCTGAAGATGCCTTCCTATCTGTAATAGCCATATCTCCACCCTATTAGTTTTTGCTTTTTTGTGGTGCTGAGAATGGAACCCAGGGCCTCACATGTGCTAGACAAGCTAATCTCTCTACCATTGGTCTACATCCCTAGACCGTGACTTTTCGTTATATACTGATAGCTAGTTGATATTCTCACTCTTGCTCTAATTTATCCTCCACTGCCCCCCCCACTAGATAGTAAGTTTCATGCAGATAGGGTGTATGGTAAGTATTTGTTCAATAAGTAAGTGAATGAATTTGGTCTTACCAAAAAAAGAAAAGAAAAATAAGACTGAGTGCTGAGATTGCCAGGGTAGCCAAGGTTTGAGAAGACAAGATCCTGGAAAAGGATGG